TTCTTCTCCTCCCTTATTTGTGGCTCCTCTTTCTCTTTCGTTCAATGCTGCTTGATAAATTATTTATGTTTATAATTACATTATATTTATATAATTTTAGGTTTATATTTTCTCAATCTCCTCTTTTTCTTTTTTTCTCCCTATTTGATTAAATATTATTTTGTGTTATTAATCAATTTATTTGCAATTCTATTTTTTTTAATTTTGTTTTTTAGGAAACATTAGGAGATAATCATTGGGTAAGTAAATTTTATTTATGTAAATTAACACTCAATTTCATTTATATGTTGATTAGAGCCATTTTGGTTACAATTATAAATAAATACTAACCTAATTTATGTTTTTTTTATTTTTTTAGGAAATGGTGTTCTGTAAATATTCACCTATTGAGGTAATCTTTAATTTTTTGGATTATTAAGTTATATTTTTAGTTTGTCATATTATTATTCTTTTTTAAATAATGTTTTAATCACCAATTTAAATAGTTTTTGTCATTAATTTAAATAGATAAATACAATAATTTTCTGTTTCTATTGTAAAATTTTCATATAATATTTATTTTTATGATAATAAATATTATGAATTACTTAGTATTTAATTGTAAATTAATTAAATTAAATAAAAGGTATATATTAATTTCAATATTAATTCAAGAAACCCTTTTTTTTTTTTTGTAGATTTATTTACCGATGTTATTCTTATCGATAAACAAAACTACTATTTTTGCTAATTCAGTAAACATCCTGCACCAGCGTTATGTTCGTCAGTAAGTTGGAGTTAGGAAAGAAGCGCCTCAATTTTCTAACTTTAGTCTTGTCGGTGATGGTTAAATACAGATAGCATTCTCTTCATTGAATCACCGACGTAGCTCACCTTTTTCAATACTTGCAGACGTGATTCTCATCGGTAAATTACTACGTGGATCGCCAAAAAAGATCTCCGATGTTATTGTTCCAACCTAATATTTGAGAGAAATTTCTTGTCGGCAATTAGCAGTAGGTTTACCGACGTAACTTTAATCCACGTCGATAAATGAATCACCGAGTCCACTTTCACCAAGAAAGACATTGCCGACATAATGCAAGTTGGTAGATTGTTTCACTGACGTAACTACCTTTGTTTCCAACATGGTTTCTCATCGATGAAGTAATGAATTCTAGTAGTGTACATTTTTGCTTAGAATACAAAGCATTATTTGCACTCAATGTCCCTCTTTCTCGCAAACTTCTTCAACAATCTAAAACATTAGGTAGGACTTATTTTTCAACACACACACACAATAAAATCAAATACATTATTCACGAATAATACTTCAAAAACGAATATGTGAGGAGTTTCGATCGTACAGATGATTTTTAGATTAAAAAAATGTGAAAAAATTATTTAGTCGTTTAATTTTTAAATTTATATTAAATTTATTTTTAAATTTTAAAAAATATTAAATTATCTTTAAATTTTGGTTAAACCCCTAATTTGATTTCTGAATTATTATACGAAACCCTTGATTTGGTTCTAATTAAAAAAATCCCTGATTTGATCTCTGAACTATTATATAGACCTCGATTTGTTCCAACTGTTTACAATTTGACCTCAAATTGGTTCTTCCGCACAAAAAAACAATTGACATATTTTGTTATTAACGTGATACGTGGCTATTAAGTAATTATTTTTCGTCATTAAATAACAGACATGTTAGTTATTTTTTAATGAAATGATCAACTTGGGGTTAAATAGGTAAATAATAGGGACCAAATCGGGACAATAGTTCAGGGATTAAATTAAGAATTTTTTTAATTGAGGACCAAATCTAAAATTCATACAATAGTTTAGAGACTAAATTAAAAATTTAATTTTAAAATTTAATTTTTATATTAATATTATCTTTCTGTCGATGGAAGTGACAGTTGTCATGTTAACTTGGCAAAAAATCAAATTTCTTCTTAAATGATGATGTGGAAAACGAATGATGCCTTACTGATGAGTTGCCAGTTTTTTCCTAACAACGGGAAAAAAAAAATAAAAATTTATTTATTTATTGAAGGGTTACTGGGTTTTATCGAAGGGAAGAGCTAGGGTAGAGAGGAAAGGCTTGAGCCAAAGAAAGAGATCGAGCGACAATGAAGGGATGAAGAAGTCCCAGATGAAAGGAAGGAGATCAACAGTGCCGGACAAGAAGAAGGGAAGAAGAGTTTGCCAGTAATGGAGAATGGGATGGAGAAGGGGAAGAAAGAAGAATGGAATCGAAGAACAAAGGAGAAATTGGACAAGAAGATGAATGGATGGATAGTTTTGTAATTTCAAGTATTACAAACTATTAACTAATTAAATTTAATAATAAATAAGTCACTTAAGATTAATTAATTGATATTTATTTTAAGCCCTTACAAAAACTATACACATTCGCCATCCAAATATCCACCTCACAGCTAAACTTTTAAAAATTAAATTAGATAATGGAAAAATCTGCCATGTCATCAATAAACTGACGGACGAATGAAATTGACACTGAAAAATAAAATTTAAAGATAGTTTTAATATATTTGAAATTTGAGAATAGATTTAGTACAAAATTTAAAAGTTGAGGAACTAGATTATATTTTAACCTTAAAAATATGCAACCTTATATCCCTGGAACAAGCAGCCTCACGAGCTTAAAAATGCCGATTAAAGCACTCTTGAGGTATGCCAAATACAAACCGAACTGCAAAATCACATAGATGCTGACTGGAAGGAATGCAGCGGCGTAGGTCAGAATCGTAGTCCACGCCTTCTGCAAATGAAAGGTGAGGATAGTTGCGGCTGTGAAGGAAAACAGAGTGGTTGCAATGCCAAAGGACAGAAAGAGGAAGCCAGCCGACAGTTTCGAGGGTATTTGATATTGAAAATCTTCCAGATCAAGTGGCGATGTGAGCACTGAAAGGAAGAGCACCACCGACGTTAATGAGCTCGCCAGTCCGGCCACGTCCATCACAGTGAAAAAAGAGTACAGAGGCTCGTCCGCAAGGACTACCGTTCGGGAATTTCGGGTGCGTCGTGTCCTTAAAACAAATCAAAGAAAAAAAAAATCATTTTGATGTGGCAGCTTGTTAATGACAAATTAGATCTTTTTTTTTTTTTTCCTTTGTGAATAGAAGAAAAAAAGAAGTTTAGTTAATTACCTCTGAAACCACCTGGGACGGCGAAGACGGCAGCAAAGAGAACCGTGGCGACTAGAACTGCCACGGTGGAGCATGACCGAGAAGTGTTCTTGACCCATTCTTGGGCCTTTTTCAGTTGTTCTTTGTGCTGGTATTTTAACAGTTGCTTCGCCGTACGATTCTCCTTGTTGAGATGGATTGTGTAATGAGGAGGAACCATTTTTTCCACCTCCTGCAAAATCACGACAAGAATTCACAATTCTTGAAGAAATATTTAATTCAATTTGTTAGAAGTTTATTTGGTCGGAAAGAACTGACGCAATATTATTTTCACAAATCAAATCTTTCTAAATAGTTTCGTCTGGTAGATTAGTAATTATTTATTTAATATCATAAAAATTTAAATTATTAACTTCAAGTACAAATCAAATTTTTTAATTAATGGATTTTAATCTTTTAGTAATTTTTTTAAATAATTGAAATAGTCCTTCTCCTTCTTCTCTCCCCTACTTCTCTTAAACTCTCTATAAAACCGAATAGACTCTAAAAACCAAACAGACCCTACATGTTAGTTAATGAATTTAGAGAAAAAATTGATCAAGGCTTACTCTGAACCATCTCAGCTCCTCTTGCAGTTTCAGAGCCGCAGTCGATGTGGTTCCTTCGCTGTAGTATTTTGTACAGGCGGCTTTGTGCAGAATGGTGTCACCGTCATTGTGGATCCCCAAAACCAGCCTCCGCTTTACCACTTCCCTTTCTGACTTGATGAGATCAAGGATGTAGTTACGGTGTAGAATGGCCACGTGCAGAATATTCTGTCCACTACTCCTGGTAACGTGCTCCAGTGCTTGAGGATACACGTTGATAATCTCCGCCACAATCTCCTTGATCCCTGTCCTGGCGGTAATAATCAACGGAGTATCCGGTGCTGCATCAATGGTGGCGGCGGTGCCATCACATCCGGTTTGGGACGATGCCTCCCCTGTTTCTTTGCCTCCCTTTTTACGGTCTCCTGAAAAGCACATAATATTGTTGTGCCCTTCTTCGTTGTGGTACTCACGCCACATGGAAGAATCCACCTTTACCAGCATCTTGTCCATTTCAACTGCAAATTGATGCTTCTTTTTTGTTTTCCCAATTTCCTTAATAAAATTCCATCCTGAATAGAAATAAATTCTAATTAGAATTTCATAGTAAATTATTTTAACTGATCAAACTATTGTTGTTAACACAATCATTGGTCGAAATAAAGTGACCTCCCGTCTCCCTCCTCTTTTTGACGAACTAAATAAGCAATTAAGAAAAATAAGGAAATTATTAGGGTGCGTACTTTCAGCTAGATACATCCAAAGATCATCGAACTTGGGTAGACCTGCATTAAGCAAAATTTTGCAATTTCAATTATAGTTGCAACTCACTTTACTGAAGCAGTGAAGCATAAATGTCCGAAATTAATACATACGTACATTCTTTATCATTGTTAGACAGCGTATCCTACTCTTACTGCTCCAACGTGGTACATCCTGTTCATTTTCATCTCTATAGATCAAGTTGCCTGGAATATCTGAAAACAAAAACGCCAAATCGAGTCAGTGGTACTACAATTAATGTGTTTTTTCTGCCAGTATGATTGTAGTTTGATTGTAGTTTGCAATGAACTTACATCTATATATAATCTCCAATCCATACATTATGGAAGAAGAACTTTTGAAAGCAGTCGGCATGCTACCGAGAATGTGAAGACATGTCTTCCCATAATATTTCCTTGTCGCCAGCTCTGAATATCTGTCAAGTAACCAAATAGCTGTCTCTGCATTTAATAGACAATTCTCATGCATTTCTCAAATGAAAAGAAAAAATGTGTTTTGTAGTTGAAATTGCCTGAACTATTAAACTACAATCTCTTGCTCAATGGGGTCCCTTGGGTTTCAGGATTCAAACTCAGCTGATTGTAGTTCTAATTGCAAATCACCATTCTCTTTCCTAAGTCAATGATTTAATTTAAAATTAACCGAATGAGCAATACGTACCAGTTTTTTCATTCATGATAGCAATATGAAGAATGGAGAGGCAATCGGATGTTCTTGTGAAGTGATCATCTCTCAGATTTCCCTTTCAACGTTCCATCTCATTTACTAAGTACTCCACTGTTGCTTTATTGCCAAATGCCGCAGTCCTGTATAGCGCCGTCTCCCCTAAATTATTGCGGTCCATCAGCATCCTCGCTCGTCTTTCATGTGCAATCTCATCAACCAGGAATTTTACTGCCTTAAACTTGTTGCTCTCGTGAAGAAGGGTATTGCCATGACTGTTCTTCATCGTGAACACCTGGCATTTTCTAGACATTTCTTCAGCCATTTTGAAGACAACTCGAAGCAGATCTATGCTTCCCATGTGTGCTGCAATGTGGAAAACAGTATTCCGCAAGGAGTGAGGGGAGAGAATAAATCACAATATTTGGCCTGATACAGTGTTTTGATGTTTTTCCACCCATTTTCCAAGGCCTTTACATAAAGCTCCCTCATTTCCTCAACACGTTCTTCTCTTATAACCAAAGCTACGTCTGTTGTCATGATGGAATGGTTTTCATGATCAGTATAGTGATTGATAAAGTTTTTGCATCAGAAGGTAGAAAGTTCGACACGGGTACAGTGCCGACACACTGGATCTGGTGTCGACACTATATTGCATGCACAGAAATTTCCGACACGGACGTGGTGTTGGCACATATTGCAGGGGTCGACACCATACGGAAGGGTTGGAAATTGTATGTCTTTTACATTGTCAAGTTTATGGGTTGGGGTACCCCTTGTACTCCATTTATTAATAAATAAATAATATTTTTTGCCGTTCAAAAAAAAAAAAGCTACGTCTGTTGTCATCTCTCCGTTTCTTTTTTCACTCTGCTAAATTGATAAATAGTTTTCTTCTTAAGCGGCTTTAATTTGATGTCGATGATTCCTGGTTTTATAGTCTGCAAGAGCTTGAAAGAATAGTGAAAAATAATAGCATTTCAACTTTGCTGAACTAATTAATAAAGATAGAAGTTGACAAGTTTAATTTTAAAACAAGAACATCGTAAAGAAAAAGGAAGGAATAACAAAGTTACAAGTTCTACTAATTGCTCGAGGAAAGAAATACTTCTCTCGCTGAATCTAAATCCAAGCCAATAAGAAAAAGACACATTAGAAACGTTTGAATTTCATGTTGAAGAGCCATGCTAAGATGTCATTTGAGATTTGCTGATATCTCAATATTAGTTGCAAAAGTTTTAAAATTATTTTTTTTAATGAGATATCCCTATAATACAATAAAATTTCTCTCCAAACTAAGAACAAAACATCGTTCAATCAATCCATAGAGTTAATTTTTAACTATTTTAGTTAAGGGTTATCTTGAAGTGTCATTTAAATTATAATGATACCTCAACATGAGATGTAAAAGTTTCTAGGGTGAAGTGATCAACAATGCATGCTAAGAATGGCAACACTACCTAAACAATTGTAGGATGAAGTAGTCAATAGTGTAGTATATTTGATTAATCAATCACCTTCAATTCCACTAAACTTTGACATCTTAGAGAAAGTCTAGATGAGATGAGATGTTGGATATTCTCATTTAAGAGTATTTGGATGCAAAGTATTTATGCATGTACCAAAGGAATAGAGATCAAAGTTGAATGATAATGTCATTCCATGTATTTTTGTTGAATATGGTGAAAAGGAGTTTGGCTGCAAATTATGGGATTGGGAAAAGAGGAAGATTGTCAGAAGTAGAGATGTTGTGTTTCCTAAATAGAAGAAAATCTAGGATTTGAAGGAGGAAAAAGCCACTATAAGCACTTGAAAGGGTGCGGCCAATCTAACACCAGCAAAAACTTCTTTAGGAGAAATTATAATGAAGTACATGAGCAAGGACTGAAACACAAGATGGATGAGCCAGTCATCCTCATCGAAGAAGAAAAAACAAGCATGGATGGAGGAAGTCACTGGCGGAGACAGTTTGCCCCTAAACTTTTAAAAAATAGAAACTTTGATCCTTTAAGTTATATTTTTATTTTTTCAATCTTTGTTCATTCTATACATTTTAATTATTTTTTACCCTTGTTTTTTCTACTATTAGTTTTAGTGATTATAAAAAAATGAGGAAAAAAAATAGATAAAATAAAATATGATTAAAAAAATTAATTGAATATAAAGTTGTCCCATATTATCTTTTTATAAAATATATACCGTTTATTAATACCTTTTTTTTTGGTTCATTAATACCTTTCTTCCTTTTTCTGTTGTTTATTAGTATTCTTCTATTTAATATATGTATATTTTATCTTTCACTTGATGTCATATATATATATAATATCATATCATCAATTAATATTAGTTTATCAATAAAAATTAACAAATCTTAATTTAAAATAATTTTTTATTAAAATTTTTCTTTTCATTGACTTTTTAATTAATGTAAAGATAAATGTCTTTTTTATTTCAAAATTTCATTTGGCCCTTCAAAGGTACAATCTCAAAGACAAAAACTGCTCAATGAAGGCTATGCAAGAAGAATAGGAAAGGATTGAGTTGGTGTTGGTTGGGCATCAAATGGATCTTAGGATGTCAAGGCATCGGAGTTTGGTAGGATCTTCGTACCGATTGTAGGGGCTGGTGGCCTCTGCTGGCAGTGGCTAAGGATAGTTAATTGTGCCATGGTGGTAATCGCAATGAGGATGGTTCAGTCTTTCAGGTGGGGACTTTGTGACAATGGGATGAGGAAATGGTGGGTTATGTTTGGAAGCCAGGATGGGGCAAGACACGTGTGGCATGATTGCATCATCAAGGAAGGTAGGGCTGTGTGCTGAGGTTTAAAACTTCGAAGTAAAAGCTAATTATTGGAACAATTGCAGTACTACTAGAACCTTATCTTTAGTAAGGTTTTAATTTTAGTCCATATATTTGTTTTCTTATCAATTTAGTCCCTTAAGTTTGATTTTGCGCTATTTAGTCTTAGGTCCTTTGCCCGACAAGGATGAGAGACCATGTGAGTTTCGGCATGAGGTTAATGATTCTATAAGGTTAAGGTCACTAAGGTTTGCTCTATTAGGATTTTTGTGTTTGATTATGATTTTGCTAGTCAAGGTTAGAAGACTCACGAGTGTGGGCCTTTAGATCAACTCTCCCTTGCGCAAGTACGCGGTTTTTGGGATGCAAATTTTACCCTCATCTGATGTGTACTTATATTTTTACCTGTTATGGGTAAGGGATTTTTATCCATGGGCCAACTAAAGGTAAAACAATTTTATCCAATAACTTTTGGGCAAAGTTAAGACGGTAAGACACCTAACTTTACCCCCAGCCTATTTACCTAATTAATCAATAAAATATTAAAATATTATTTCTAAAATTTTAAAATAATTAATAATACCTAAATTCTTTAATTCATTTATTTCAATTTAAGATTCTAAAACTCTATATTCCCCCGTTACTAATTTTTTATGGAATATTCCTTAATTATTTTAATTAAATTCTAACTTAAATTTAAATTAATTTATTTTAAAAGACAAATCTCTTATAGCTAAATTAACTTAAGCTTAAAAATTAAAAGCCTAATTTCTTTATTTTTCCTTTTTTCCTCCAAAAGCAAATTAGCAAATTTCACAATGTAATTGTGGTAAGAAAAACATTAAACTCACAGTCCCTTAAACTTTTTTCCTTGATTGAATTACTAAATGAGAAATTAACTTGAGTAGGACTTTTTCTTAGAAAAACAATTATCTTCTTGAGTTAAATTTTCTATTTAATATATCTTTTTACTATGATTTTTAGTTGTGTATATTTGAACTTTTATGTCCAATATTTTATATAAGTTTATTAGATTTATTATAATCACATTAGTTTACGGTTTGAAATTTTAAAAATTTCGATTTTACAATTATGAATTTAAGTTTTTTTCGTTTTTTTTTTTAAAGCGAAAATGTTAAGGGGTACAGTAAATTACTGATTACTTAATGGGTAAGGGTAAGGATAACGTATATTTTTTACTTGAAAAGTCATGGGCAAGGTGAGCATAAAAAATTACCCGATGGGTGTAGGTTATAAGGGTAATTAACTTCCCGATTCAGTGTCATTCTTCCCTAGTTTTTGTTTTGAAGGAGTTTTCATTTGTCCCTATAACTTAAGAGATTGAGAGCTTCAAAAGAAAATTGAGTTTGAATTTATAGTATTGCAACTTTTTTTAACAGTGGATATTTGTTGTTTTTCAGTGGTTTTCCCCTTATATTACATTAAATTTAATTCTTTTTATTATTTACTTTATTATTTAATTTACTTA